GAAATGGATGGGGAGGTGAAATTTATGTGTTTTGTGATAATTTAGTGTCTGCGAGTTTGGATGCTTATATTATTGTTTCCCTCTCTCTCTTTCTTTTTTCTTTTACATTTAATTTCTATTGCGGGATCGAATAGACATCAACAACGGTTTAGTCGGTCATCTCCAAACACAGAAGGTGCACCATCACATTCACATCCTGCATACAATGTACCATATACGTGGGGGTCTGAAAAAGTTTTTGCGCATGCTGATTTCACGTAATTCACGTGGCTGTATACTAAAAAATGGTTTGCATATTTTGCTGATAGTTTTGTTAATATGAGCAAGTAATAAAATTTAGATAAAAAGGATAACGACTTAAGGACTTTTATTAATAGTACTACGAATAAGTAATGGGGCGAAACGAGTAATTTGACGTTAAGATGCCAGCAAAGAGTGCGTGAGTATCTTGGCATCAGCTTATACTGATTCATCTCGATAAAAAAAACGTTGCATGATGGTTAAGATTAATAAAAGGCTGAAAGCCTATCAATTGCTTAATAATCATGTGTTGGCGCGAAAGATATTTGAACAAATGTTAAAGGGATTAAGAAAAGAAAGCAGGATGAGAATGTGCAGTACTTTTTTAAAATCTCTGAACAGAAAATTGATGAATCAGTATTAATAACCATACAAGTTCCTGTAAGTAATCGAGAATGGTTTTGACTATCATACAACATAAAGTTTGTAAACGATTACTTGATGTATACAAAGAAGGCAAAAATTGTTAAATTTGCAACCGCGTTCAGAAGGTCTTGGCTAGCTTGCAAGTGATACTGTTTGGCAAGCATTCCGCGACGTGTGCACAAAGCCCTTTTGTATTCAGCAAGAAACTCGTTAGCAAAAAGTATATATTGAGTGAATGACGTAATCTTGCATGGTATCGCTCGTTTTCGATAAGACCCTGACATATTATCTCTCATATCGCATGCATCATCTTACGTGAGTTATCTAAGGGCATATCATATTTGACATTTCGTAATAGAAGAAAAGATTCCTTTTTTTAGATAATCTCAACAAAGAAAATCTAGGCCCATTGTCATGCATATCTCATGCAAGAAAATTTTTTGTGGCATGGCTAATGCATAGGGGTCAAACCATTATAAATTATAGACATCTAATCTCTTCATCTCCCGTCCCTTCTTAGACAAAAATCATGTTGTTTTCCTATACACATACACTCACCGGACAAAAGTATCGAATCAAAATGTTGGTGTTACATGAAACGATAAAGACATTTATCGTACAATAAAATGAGAACATACTAATTATAATATATATTGCATGAATTTTATATCATTCGAATCAGAAATTTTAATATTGCGTTGGATTGCCTTTACAGCCTGAACTCTTCGTGCCATACTTTCCACTAATAATTCGTATCTATGTTTACCCACTCTTCCTTCAATGCCATGAACAATTCCTGCTTATTTTTGGGATGGGGCTGTCTTTTGCGAACTGCTCGTTCTAAATAATCCCAAACATGCTCGATTGGGTTAAGATCTGGGCTCTGAGCGGGCCATGGAAGTGAAGTAATTAGATTTTCTTCTTTCCACTGATGCACCAGCCTTGACCGATGAATTGGGCAATTATCATCCTGAAAAGTATATAAATTTAGTCCCAATTCATTCAAGAATGGCAGGAGACTGTTTCTAAGTAGTTCTATATAGCCAGTACCGTTTATTTTTCGTTCAATTGCGACCAAAGGTCCAGGCCTATTATTAACAAAACAGCCCCATACCATAACACCACCTCCCCCATGTTTAACAGTTGGAATAAGGCAATCAACAACGTATTTTTCTTTTGGCCGACGCCAGACTGTTTTATGAGCATCATTTTGAAATAGACAGAAACGAGATTCATCACTCCAAATAATTGTTTTAAATTCGGCAACCCAATTTTGTCTTTCTTTACACCATTCGAAACGTTTTTTCCGATTTGCTTCAGAAATAAAAGGTTTTCTTACTCCAACAAGGCTGTAAAAACCTAATTCGTGGAGGCGACGACTGATCGTTTTGGAACTGACCGGTACACGACACCTCATTAATTGATTGAGCGAGCTCGTCTAACGTAATTTGCCTATTTTTTACTACCTCTTTTGACAATTGTCGAAGGTTACGCTCTGTCAAAACTTTTGGCCGACCATTTCGGGGTTTAAAGGTTACCTGTTGTTCTTTCCGAAATGCGTCAATGGCTCGAAAAACCTGTGCCTGGGGGTGGCCAAGGGCTTCCGCAATCTCGCGGGTGGTTTTCTTGCACTCCCAGTAACCGATAATCCTACCTCGTTCAAAATCGGTCAATTCTCGATTTAATGGCATTTTTGAAAATTATAAAGTAATTACTAAAGTATTGATGGATTGCGGGACAAATAATTTACACGTTTGAACAAGTATTGAGCTCACAGTCGTTGTTTGAAGTTTGTTTATGTTACCGATTTTTTGTGTAACAGATCGGCTGATTTGATACTTTTGTCCGGTGATCGTATATCTTCCACATGTATCTTCTTTTTGCTTTCCTGTATGTATATATATATCTTTTATCTGGAACGTAGTAGCTAAGGCAGATGATGGCGCGAGTATTAGAAAATCGGACAAAGGAACATTAAAACGCCACGTACGCCGAACGGCGACGTTGGCAGAAGCAGCATCGTTCCTACGAGTTTATCATAATAACGGTGATGACACCTCATTAGACAATTACAAAAAAGTTCTTCCTCAAATTCCGACAAATATACTTCACGGGATTATTTCTACGCTTTATGAGAAACGGCGGGCTGATGGTTTCAATAATTTTGTCGACAGTATTCAAACATACGAAAGTCTGGATTACACGCACTTTGGCATCATCATTACGAACATTGCATTGCTCAGAGCAATATCATAAATGCCATCTCATTCACCAAGCCGCAGATCCTGTTAAGCGGCTTGAGGCTGATCCATTTATTTGGAACGTCTGCATAATCGACAATTTACACTACCCTACCATAAATCACCGGATTTTTTGTCACTTGGATCAAAATGATCATTTCACAAAAAAAAATTTTCAAATATCGTTAGTACGTTGAAAAGAGCAAAAAAAAAAAGAGACAATTAGAGGGTTAATGATATGGTTGAGGGGGTCAAGGGGGTTATGGGGGTTATGAGGAACCCGGTACTATATCGTGCGTTTCGCTATTATGATGGGCAGATTCGCCATGTAAAATAAGTTTTTTGTTGACAATCATGATGTATGTAAATGTGCAACAATTTTCATATAATTCTGATTTATTATTAAAGAGCAGGTAATCGTGTTGCTGTATATGTACAAGTTGAGAATGAGTTTCACTACAGAGGGCAGCAACATTATAGTAAGTTTGACGTTGGCGCTATGACAATAGAGTAGCACAGAATCAGCGCATGCTGAATGGATAGAGGAAAAACACACCTTTTGGCAAGACAACGGGGCAACGGACAGCAAACTTTGAAAAGATGGCCACACATCTATAGCGCTACATGAGCCCACAAGTATCCAATACACAACAATAGGCAGCACAGGCCGCACTGAGTCGATATAGAGAAATTTGAGATCTTTTACGACGAGAGTAGAAATATAAGTAATCAGTAACAGTAGCGTAATTGATAATCGCACATTAAAAAAGACAAGAGAATTTTGACAGTCACTGTTGTAAAGCTACCCCACATACCAGAAGTAAAACTACGATAGCATTCATGGGAAGTCTGAATATATTGATGATAGTTCGCTCTTAGTCTTTCTGGAATAACGTTGGCTCTAAGAGTTGAGATCAGTGGGAAGTAACATCCGCAACATATTTCAAATATGTAAAAGCCCTTGAGTACCCCTGCGCCAGTCTTGCAGAAAAGTCATATCGGTAAGCTCGCGAATAATATGATCAGCATCTTGTAAAATATCGTTAATACCTTTGCAAACATGGCGATTGCCATGGCTATAGTAGATATTATTAGTATTAGTAGGATATTTGTAATACTTCTTATGTCTCTTTTCCAGTTATCATGAAATATCTTGAATAGTTGAGAGCCTATCATGATGCAGACCATAAAGCTACATTGAATTGTAACAATTATAATAGATAAGTAAACTTTGATTAACTAATCCACGTCAAAACAATTCGGCCATATCTAGCAGTTGAAACTGTTACCTGGAAAAGATAACTCCAAAAGGCATTTCGTGCTCGATGTTAATACTTCGTTCCTCTAGTAATGGACCCCAGAAAAATACAAATGTATACATTGATGCCTCGAAGAGAGTCTGAATGGCACCAACGGCCGTTATTTTAGAATCTTAATATTTGAACACAGGAGTTAATTAATCCTGATCCTTTGCAAGAAACCTCGAGAACAAAGATGTTGACTTACTAGACAGGACCAGTCTCATAGCCATATGTACCGGCGCATTTTCTTCATCACTACCTATATTACCATTTACTTTAAACCATAGTTTTCCGTCCATGTTGTGCTAATGATGATTGCAGCAATGCTGAATGGTATTATTCCGCCAAGAATGGAGCATGGTATCCGTGTATATCTACCAACAAATTGGCAATCATGCCAGCAAGTATTGCAATCAGACCATTCCCGAACGTTGCCGTTGAAAACGTCGAAGAGAGAAGATGTTGCGGATATTCTAGTGGTTAATAGATAAACCATCGTAGTAAACGCGTCTGCTATTGTAAAGTCCACATATATTGGCAATAGAAGATGGAATTTGAAATACCCTTCGACAGATGTTGACTAACCATCCATGATTCAAATACAGAAAACAGTAGAGACGTGCTGATTCCACCCAAAACCCTGTAAGAGAAATGCGTTATGTTTGGAATAAACGCTGATGGGAAGGAAATTCCCATCTCACACATCATATTACCCGCGCTTACCTTCCAACTATAAGTACAAAATAATTATTATATAGTATTATTATTCCCGTAATAGAGTATAGAATACAAAAGAGTAGACAAAACTTTTTCCTTCCACTTGAGAGTGTAAATATAATATAGGAATCTAAGTAACGACTTTGACAGTTTATTACAAGTAGCTTGTACAATAGTCTCTCGCTCACTCCAGCACTCACTACTTGTCAGCAGCCGATCCAATGAACGTTCCTATAAGTCCACTTGATACGAATCCAGTGACGTAGAGCGTTGCAATCTGTGTTAGAGAAAATTCATACGATTTGTATAAAGCGTATAAATATGGTCCCTGTAACCAGTCTCCAGCTTATTGAAATCGCATAAAAGCAAGCAGGTATGGCGAATTATCAGAGACGGATAAATAATTAAAACTTTCGTTTCGCGAACAATTCGTGTTAAATAAGACAAGTCCCGTAGTAGTAGTCACCTGTTATAAGGAAATATACAAACAAGTAATTGAGCTGAAAAGAAGAAAATTCTCGAGCAATTCTTGCATGAGCATCGACAGTTGCGTCAAAGCCTCTAGAAGATGGGCAAAGCACCGAAAGAGCAATAAACCATTGAGTGTACTCATTGAGTGTACTCATTGAGTTCCATAGTGTAAGCCTTAGCTGTTTGGCTGTTGATTGCTTGACGGGCGTGTACAACTCATCCTTATTTTTTTATGATTGAAATCAATCCTTGTTCCTCGATTATATTACAGCTGTATCACTAGCAACGTAAAGAATTTCACCAAAATTGGCGCAACGAAATAAGTGAAATGTTGGGTGAAAAAGATGCTTATAAAAACCTGCCCCATAGAAAAAAAAAGCAAATCACAAGTCATTCAAAAAATGGTTGCTTTCACTATTGATTACTGTTGAGCACGTCTCGTAAACCGATGTGAGCTTGCCATAGAACATAACGGTGATTGCATCCCATACTGCTTCAAATGATATTAATATAAAATTCATCTTATTTGCGTAATTTTGTCCACATTGTATATAAGCAGCATTGTTTTGACTTGGCATCAATGTGTTTATCGAAGACGTTCAATTCTATACATTAATAGCATATCCATTTACTCTTCTTTCCTCTGAATAATCTGTTATATTACACTAAAGCATTGATCCATAACAGAAAGGTCAGTCACAATACTTGTCCTGTGACTGACTGAGTAGCAATAGGATAATTAATTATTACCTTATTTAACGCGTTACAAACCCAATGATAGACTACTGACGTAATCCCAGCGGTATTATGTTCTCGAGAAATAATTAGTTCTCTAGAATTGGCGCGTACGATCCGTATTAAATATGTCAGTACTAAAAAGCCTAATTAAAAGGTCATTAATCGTTTGTTACTTTTAGCTATCGCTGAGGTGAACCACGCACTTTCGAAGTCGCAGCTAAATCTTAAACTGAGTTAATGGTCATCCGCTCTCCTGACCGTTGACTCGACGTGACACTGAAAATAATGTCAAGTCTCACTGATACCTTGA